CATATAGCGATTCACCTGTGTGTGTGTGCGTGTGTGTGTGTGTGTGTTTGTTTGTTTGTGTGTGTGTGTGTTATATAGATTATATAGTGAACTTAAAAAATCTTCTTGTGAAAAACCACTAGTCCAATTTCAATTAAACTTGGCAGGATTGATCCTTGGGTGAAGGGGTTCCAAAGTTGTTCAAAGAATTTCATTCCATGCAGAAATCTGGTTGCCATGGCAACCAAAAGGAATTAAATGAATAAATTTAAAAAATCTTCTTGTAAAGACACAAAAGGCCTAGAGCTTAGATATTTTGCATAAGGCATTGTGTGGTAGACCTCTACCAAGATTGTTCAAATTATAGTCCTGGGGTCAAAATCGGCCCCGCCCAGGGGTCATTGATTTTCACTATATGTACATATAGTAAAAACTTAAAATATCTTCTTGTAAAGACTGAAAAGGTCTAGAGCTTAGATATTTTGCATAAGGCATTGTCTGGTAGACCTCTACCAAGATTGTTCAAATTATAGCCCTGGGGTCAAAATTGGCCCGGCCCCGGGGTCATTGATTTTCACTATATGTACATATAGTAAAAACTTAAAATACCTTCTTGTAAAGACCCAAAAGGCCTAGAGCTTAGATATTTTGCATAAGGCATTGTCTGGTAGACCCTTACCAAGATTGTTCAAATTATAGCCCTGGGGTCAAAATCGGCCCCGCCCCAAGTGTCATTGATTTTCACTATATGTACAAAGAGTAAAAACTTAAAATACCTTCTTGTAAAGACCAAAAAGGCCAAGAGCTTAGATATTTGCAGAAGGCATTGTCTGGTAGACCCTTACCAAGATTGTTCAAATTATAGCCCTGGGGTCAAAATCGGCCCCGCCCGGGGGGTCATTGGTTTTCCTTATATGTATATAGTAAAAACTTATAGTAAAAACTTTCTTCTAGCAATTGACAAATGCTAGAGGTTAGATATTTTGCATGAAACATTGTGAAGTGAACTTCTAGCAAGATTGTTGTTGAATTATTATTATGCCCTGGTGTCAAAATTGCCCCCGCCCCAGGGGTCATTGATTTTAAATATATATATAGTAAAAAATCTTATTGTCTGAAGGTAAAAGGCTTAGAGCTTTAATATTTGTCAATTGGTATCATCTATAGGAACTCTACCAAAGTTGTTCAAATTTTGCCTCTAGTGTCAAAATTAGCCCCACCCCGGGGGCCATAGGTTTTCCTTATATGTATAAAGTAAAAACTTAAAAAATCATCTTCTTTAAATTTACAAAGACTAGAGTTAAGATATTTTGCATGAAACATTATGTAGTGAACCTCTAGCAATAGTGTACAAGTTATAGCCCTGGGGTCAAAATTGGCCCGACCCCCAGGGGTCATTGATTTTCACTATGTACACATAGTAAAAAAATAAAAAATATTTTTGTCTGAAGGAACAAGGGATAGAGCTTTGATATTTGCTATATAATATCATCTATAGGTCCTGTACTAAAGTTGTTCAAATTTTTCCCCTGGTGTCAAAATTGGTGCTGCCCAGGGGCAGTGATTCTCATTATGTACACATATTAAAAACAGAAAATAAAACAAATGTTTTCTGAATGGGAGAAAGCTACAGCTTAGATATTTGACTTGAAATGTTGTTTGGTGGACCTGTATCAAGATTGTTTTGAATTAAACCCTTGGGTCCAAAATTTTGCCTTGCCCAAGGGGACAGTGACCTACTTTGATGTACAGCAATGAAATTTTGACCATGTGCACAGTTTTAGTTGTAAAATTGAACTTTGATATCAGGTGACCTAGATTTTGTTGATGTGACCTACTTTCTGGTCCTTTGATGTACAGCTATGAAATTTGAACCCTGTGCACAGATTAAGATGTAAAGTGAACTTTGATTTCAGCTGACCTAGATTTTGACAAAGTGTCTTACTGTGTTGTCCTTTTGATGTAGTCATGAAATTAAGGCTGTGTGAAATATGACCTTCACCACCAAATTCACTAGACTCGAGTGCATTGATACATTCCTACTCTGATCTTTTATTGAGTTAACATTAGATTTAACCACTTATCTGATAATAAGAATAAGATAGGTCAGGGATCTATGCTTTATGACAATCTTCAATATTGTAAAGAAACAAAAAAAATCTGTTCCTACAATACTATTTAGTGTTGTATTAATGCGGTGGCATAGCATTTTCCTCAAATGCAATCTTGTTCTAGGAATAAGTTTACTTTGACATATGGATGATTATTTTTCATTTTATATGATAATGCAAAATATAACATTTATGGAACAATCTTTAAGACAAAGTGATTCTTAGTGTTCTTCCCTTTCCCCATCACCCCCCTTCCCCCTTCCTTTCCCCATCCCCCCTTCCCTTTCCCCATAACCACCCACTTTCAATCTTGTCATCACCACCCCACGTTCCATCTTCCCCATCACCCCACACTTCCACCTTCCCATCAGCCCCCCTCCTTCCACCTTCCCCATCAAGCTCCCACCTCCTTCCACCTTCCCATCACCCCCCAGTAAAAAAATGATAAGAATACAATGAAAAAATTAATAACTTGCATCACTTAAATATTCCAAGAACGGATATATTGTTGTATTCCTGTCCTAAATTTTGAACCTGAGACAATTTTGCATTTCAAAGGAAATGTCCTGACTTGTGACCCTATCTTATGACTGATTCAAATGGCTAATAGCAATGTAGATGAACATTAACATATTGCTGGATAGTGTTTTCTTAGGAGAGCAAATTTAATTGAAGTCTAATGTGTTTAACTTTAAAGATACTAATGTTTATTGGAACCATGACAGACTTAAGATAGTCCTAAAGTTGGTCTTATGTCCTTGGACTTAGGATACACTTAGGACTTTCTATGAAAAGCTGGTCCTAGCTGTGTCTTGTTGGCAAGTAGATGGTACTCAATGCAAAAGACTGACTTGAAGGTAGCAAAAGGATTAAATTCATTCCTTTTAAATTAATGACCAACAATATTTCCATACAAATATTTACAATATCCCCCCCCAATCCCCCCCCCCCCCCCCGGATTTCCTGTTCTGTCTTAAACAGAAAAATATCAGTATCTTATCGCCTACATAAATATCTTAAAAAAACCTTGTATCTTTTAACATTTTAACATGAGATTGGATGGAACTCAGCATGTCTGTTTACAAGTGATTCCAATAAAAACATCTCAGTTATCACAACCACTGATCTGTGTGTCAAGTCAAGTAGACCATGTATCTAGGTGCACCTGCCTTATGTCTAAATGCTTCTTATTTTTCAACCAATTTTTCTGCTCTTTTTTCCCTCTGGGTTGTTTTTTTTATAATGTTAAAAGATAAGGCCTTGTTGTAAAGTATAAATTCACTTCCTTTATATATTATATTTTTTATGTGTGATTTATGTTTTTAAAACTGTGTAAGATGAGAGAATCCAAATTATTTATATTTCTGTGCAAGTAATTTATATATATTCTAAATCTTTTTATACTTTTTGTACTAGTATATCTTTCATTGTGAAAAATATATGCTAAAACTTTATATTTTACATTTTGGGTTTTGACTATGAGATATGTTATATATCCTATCACTGTTAATTGCTCCTTGTGAATGCTAATCATTTGTTTAAAGGCATATTTTGCTTACAAAATACATATTAATTTTTTAATCAAACATGTGTTTAAAGCTGCATGCCTCCAGATAAGACAAAATATTTCAATAAAATCAAACCTGAGAACTAATAATATTAACTTAATTTTATGAAAAGAAAACTGATTTAAAATTTATATAATAATTTACATGTTATGTGGAATAACGGTAGAATTTTTTAGTATTAATCACCATATTTCTACTGCGTTACTAACGCAGTAAAGGCTATTTTCAAATATTTTGACCTCATTTTGTTAATTAGCATGGGATGTGATTGTAAGTTGCTTCCCTTTGATTTCTTCAGAATATTAACTTTTAAATACATTTTCAAAATTTTCATGAAAATTTTGCTTGAATCTGGAGGCATGCTGCTTTAATAATATTTTTTTGATTGAGACTATGTTTCTTGTTTTATTCACGAAACCGACAAATGTAACACAGAACTTGCAGTAATGTCATGGAAAGGTAGAAAAATGTAAACATTTTATGTAGAATTTTGACTTCCATACAAAATACTAATCTAATATAATTATACCAAATGCTAACAGAACAAAAGAAGCAAAAGATCTTCCTCTATATGGCAAATGAGTATTTTTAAAAAAAAATTGAAACAAAATACGAAACATGAAAATTTTAAAAATAAAATATAAATGCTAGTATTTTTGAAGCACAATGGGCCTTTAAAAATATAATGTATTTCACATTATGGGATAAATGTCTTGTGAGACTGTACTTGTAGGGTAAAAAAATGCTGATTGGGTAAACATAGGTTGCTTATATAGGGTGTGAGAGATCAAAGAAGATCTAAGAAAAAAAATTGAAAAAGAACAACAAAAAAACTCAAGAAGAATGTCTTTGTGTCCAATAGGTAATTAGTTACCCCTTGATAACTTTTCTTTCAAATGATTGTGTTTATATTTGAGAAGTTATTATGTCATGTCAAAGGACAGGTTAAAATTAATAAGATTTTTTCAAGCAATTGACTCATACATGTGAACTCTCCCAATTTGAGCTGGAGACTCCCTCTTTCTCCTGTCAAATTTTTAAATATTTTTCTTAGAATAGGTGGTGTTTTTAAAAAAAATCAAAAAATCTCCCTCTTTTTCATTTTAAAAATTTTCCTACTTTCTCTATTGTCAATTAAAAAATCTCCCTCTTTTGGAACTAAATTCTCCATCTTGAAGATTGAAAAAAGTTCACATATAATTATGTTGACTCATTATTGATAAGAGATTTGCGCCCTTATTAGCAAATTTTTGGGAAAATTATTGTTTTTTGCATGTACATTTTTGAAGGATTTCAATAATTGTGTGTAAGTATGATATTTAAAAAATGACTATTTTTTCAGGTGTTGATGTTTTCGTAATGTAATTGTTGGCAAGAAAAATGAGCTCAAATAACAACAACAACAACTCCTCCTACCTGGAGGTGAGCGGCCAGGAGGCAAGTGACATCTTGGCGGCTGCTTTACAGCAGATGGACGGAATTATTGCAGGTACATAAGAGCCTTTGGTATAATGACAGGTATATTGGCAGATGAGCCACGTCAGGACAAAACCAAAATAGTGTGTTTGAGACCAGCATGGATCCAGACCAGCCTGCGCATCCGCGCAGTCTGATCAGGATCCATGCTGTTTGCTATCAGTTTCTCTACTTGTAATAGGGTTGGTAAGCGAACAGCATGGATCCTGATCAGACTGCGCGGATGCGCAGGCTGGTCTGGATCCATGCTGGTCTCAAACACACTATTTTGGTTTTGTCGTGCAAACCCATTATGTTGGTTTTGTCATGGCGCGGCTCAAATGGATAGTTAAGTTATCAGGCAACCTCATTATTCTCACACAAGTGATTTTAGCCAGGTAACAGCCTTACTAAATGAATAACATCAAAGCTATTGTTCACATTTGCCCCATTTGTAACCAACTTAATACTAGGCTATTGTGTGGGTTATAAAGTGAATAAAGTAGATGCAATATCCCAAGAAATATTTCTGTTTGTTTGATCTTCAGTTTTAGGCTTGACCTTCCCAAGAAAACCACAATAAATTACTCCCCAACAAAAAAAAAAAATGATTTTTGGCAGTAAAAACAACTTCAAGTATCAAAAATTATTTATTATGCTCCCCAAAAAATTTTGGGGGGAAAAGCATATTAGCCCGTCGGGTTGTCCGCCCTTTCCGTACGTCCCGGGGAATTGTGTCCGGCCCTTTTAATTTTTTTTTGAATTTTGGTTTTAAAAATTTTTAAACCAAAAATAAATCACCATATTGAGACGACGGTGGGGGCCCCAAAAATTTGGGGTCCTCCCTTTAAAAAGGTCAAGGCCCACGGGCAGGGGACCTGCAGGCCCAAAATCGTTTTCCGGCCCAAAACTTCTTTTAAAATTTTTGGAAAGTTGGGATTTTAAAAAATTTTTTTCACAGAAAATAAAATCCACCTATCATTGATTGAGACGACCTGTCGCGCTGCTCAAAAAACATTTTGGGTACGTGAACCAAAATGTGCTACCTTGAAGGTATAAGTTTTTGCAAGAACAGCATGACCTTGCAGCAAATCGTACGTACCGAATTCGTGTCCGGCCCATAACTTTGTTATTTGAAGTTGGATTTTAAAATTGTTTCACAGAAATAATCACCATATTGAGAGGACGTGTCGGGCGCAACATTTGGGTCCCTACCTTGAAGGTCAAGGTCACAGCATGACCTTGCAGCAAAATCGTGTCCTGTCCATAACTTCATTATTTGAAGTTGGATTTTAAAAATATTTCACAGAAATGATCACCATATTAAGATGACGTGTCGCGCACAACATTTGGGTCACTACCTTGAAGGTCAAGGACAGCATGACCTTGCAGCAAAATCATGTCCGGTCCATAACTTTGTTATTTGAAGTCGGATTTTAAAAAAATTCCACAGAAATGATCACCATATTGAGACGATTTGTCCTGCGCAACATGTGGGTCGCTTCCTTGAAGGTCAAGGTCACAGCATGACCTTGCAGCAAAATTGTGTCGGCCCATAACTTCGCTAGTTGAAGTTGGATTTAAAAAGTATTTCACAGAAATGATCATCATATTAAGATGACGTGTCATGCACAACATTTAAGTCGCTACCTTGAAGGTCAAGGTCACAGCATGACCTTGCAGCAAAATCGTGTTCGGCCCATAACTTCCTTATTTGAAGTCAGATTTTTAAACTATTTCACAGAAATGATCACCGTATTAGAATGGCGTGTCGTGCGCACCATTTGGCTCGCTACCTTGAAGGTCAAGGTCACAGCATGACCTTGCAGCAAAATCGTGTCCGGCACATAACTTCATTATGTGAAGTCGGATTTTACAACTATTTCACAGAAATGATCACCACAATGAGACATTGTGTCGCGCGCAACATTTGGGTCGCTACTTTGAAGGTCAAGGTCACGGTATGACCTTGCAGCAAAATCGTGTCCGGCCCATAACTTTGTTACTGGAAGTCGGATTTAACAACTATTTCACAGAGATGAATTGACGTGTCACATGCAACATTTGGGTCACTACCTTGAAGGCCAAGGTCACAGCATGACCTTGCAGCGAAATAATGTCAGGCGCATAACTTGGTTATTTGAAGTCGGATTTTACAACTATTTCACAAAAATGAAATATTTAGACAATGTGTCGTGCACAATATTTGGGTTGTTTTTACACTTTGAACTTTGTCTGTGACATAACTCTGACACAACAAGAGGCATACCTTCCTGTGTCCAAAACCTATTCGGGGAGCATCACCCAGTTCAACCGGCTCTTGTTTGAAAAGATGTAATAAAATCATTTTGAATAAATAATCTTGAAACATTGGTCTTTTTAAAGTGTGATTTCTTGTTGTAGCAAAAGACTCCACCAATCTGTTCCTCAGGTAGGTTGGGGTGTACATGGCCAAGTGGTTAAGGTTGTTGACTTCAAACTGTTTGCTCCTCACCAATTTTGGGTTCGAACTGGACAATGACTTTGAATTCTTTCATGTGAGAAAGCTATCCATTTAGCTTACGGAATGTCGGTGGTTCTACTAAGGTGCTCGTTTGTGCCTGGAATAATGCACAGAAGGCCACTTGAGGTCTTTCTCCACCAGTAAAGCTTGAACATCGCCATTATGACCTATACTGTGTCGGTGTGTGATGAAAACCCCAAACAAACAAACAAACAAATTCTCATGTGGATTATTATACCCCCGCACAACGAAGTTGTAAGGGGGGTATACTGGAATCAGCTTGTCTGTCTGGCAGTCCGGTCTTCTCTTATCTGTCCATCAGTTTTTCCTTGTCCGCCCAATAACTTAAGATTCCTTTGACCCACAGTCTTTATATTTGGTATTTAGATTGGTCATGATTAGTAGGTGATCCCTATTTACTTTGAGGTCACAGGGTCAAAGGTCAAGGTCACAGGGGCCTTGAGTAAAAAAAGCTTGTCCGCCCAATAACTTAAGATTTCTTTGACCCACAGTCCTCATATTTGGTATTTAGATTGGTCGTGATAAGTTGATGATCCCTATAGATTTTTAGGTTACCGGGTCAAAGGTCAAGGTCACAAGGGCCTTGATTAAAAAAAGATTGTACACCCAATAACTTAAAATTCCTTTGACGCACAGTCCTCATATTTGGTATTTAGATTGGTTATGATTATTAGATGATCCCTATTGATATTGAGGTCACTGGGTAAAGGTCAAGGTCACAGGGGCCTTGATTTAAAAATGCTTGTCCAATAAATTGCTTAAGAATGCTTTGGTCAACAGTCTTCATATTTAGTATTTAGGTTGTTTATGACTAGTAGATGACCCCTATTGATTTTTAGGTGACTGTATAAAAGGTAAATGTCACAGGATTTTTACTATAATAAGCTTGTCTGCTCAGATGCTTAAGAATGCCTATCCACAGTGATTTTGACATTTTCACATTTGAAGCATGGACTGGCTTAGTAACCTCAGATTTGGCAGGGAGGTTGTCATTGAGCTCTAAATGGCCACTGTAACTCCAGGCTTTCCAAGATGACTACAACCAGTAATTACCAATTCATCCGGACTGACTTATTCCATGTGATTGACAACTAATTCCACACAATTTCTGAATGACTTTTTATGCCCCTGCCATATAATGGCTGTGGCATAAAGTGTAACCCTGTTTTTTCCGTCATTCGTCATTGTCATTCTGTCATCATCAGTTCCGTTCATTATTTTAGTAACGGTTGCACACATTCAACTCAAATTTGGCATATAGGATATGTCATGAGAAAATATAGGTCAAGTTCGAATTTGGTCATGGTTCAATGATTTTTTGGCAGAGTTAGGCCCCTTTTACTATGAAAATAATATGAAATTTTCAGTTTCCGTTCATTATCTCCCCAACAGTATTACACATTTAACTCAAATTTGACATATGGGTACATCAAAGAAATACGCAGGTCATGTTCAAATTTTGTCATGGTTCGATGATTTTTTGGCAGAGTAATGCCCCTTTAACTTTGAAAATAAAGGAAATTTTCAGTTCCCATTTATTATCTCCCCAACAGTTGTACATATTCAACTCAAATTAAAGATATGGATATGCCATAAGAATGCATTAGTCAAATTCCAATTTGGTCATGGTTTGATGATAGCTGACAGAGTTATCCCTCTTGAACTTTGAAAAAAAATCAGAAATTTTAAGTTTCAGTTCATTATCTCCTCAATGGTTGTACACATTCAATGCAAATTGACATATAGATACATCTTAGGAATAAGCAGTTCAAGTTTGAATTTGGTTGTGGTTCAATGGTTTGGACAAAGTTTTTTTCCGTTGGATGTTGGAAAAATTTTGAATTTTCAGTTTCAGCACATGTATGTAGCCATTATTTTATTATGCCCCCGCCATGTAATGGCCGGGGCATATAGTGTTACCCTGTTCCGTCATTCCGTCCTTCCGTCCTTCCATCCTTCCGTCCTTCCGTCATTCTGTCATTCCGTCATCATCAGTTTCCGTTCATTATCTTAAGAACGGTTGCACACATTCAACTCAAATTTGACATATGAATATGTCATGACAAAATACAGGTCAAGTTCGAATTTGGTCATGGTTCGATGATTTTTGACAGAGTTATGCCCCTTTTACTTTGAAAATAATATGAAATTTCAGTTTCCGTTCATTATCTCCCCAACGGTACAACACATTCAACTCAAACTTGACATATGGATATGCCATGACAAAATACAGGTCAAGTTCGAATTTGGTCATGGTTCGATGATTTTTGGCAGAGTTATGCCCCTTTTACTTTGAAAATAATATGAAATTTTCAGTTTCCGTTCATTATCTCCCCAACGGTACAACACATTCAACTCAAACTTGACATATGGATATGTCATTAGAAAATACAGGCCAAGTTCGAATTTGGTCATGGTTCGATGATTTTTTGACAGAGTTATGCCCCTTTTACTTTGAAAATAATGTGAATTTTCAGTTTCCGTTCATTATCTCCCCAACGGTACAACACATTCAACTCAAACTTGACATATGGATATGTCATGACAAAATACAGGTCAAGTTCGAATTTGGTCATGGTTCGATGATTTTTGGCAGAGTTATGCCCCTTTTACTTTGAAAATAATATGAAATTTTCAGTTTCCGTTTATTATCTCCCCAACGGTACAACACATTCAACTCAAACTTGACATATGGATATGTCATTAGAAAATACAGGCCAAGTTCGAATTTGGTCATGGTTCGATGATTTTTGGCAGAGTTATGCCCCTTTTACTTTGAAAATAATGTGAAATTTTCAGTTTCCGTTCATTATCTCCCCAACGGTACAACACATTCAACTCAAACTAATGACATATGGATGCGTCAAAAGAATGCACAGGTCATGTTCAAATTTGGTCATGGTTCAATGATTTTTGGCAGAGTTATGCCCCTTTCACTTTATAAGTAATATGAAATTTTCAGTTTCCGTTTATTATCTCCCCAACAGTACAACACATTCAACTCAAATTTGACATAATTTATGGATATGTTTTTGGAATGCCCAGGGCAAGTTTGAATTTGGTCATGGTTCAATGATTTTTGGCAGAGTTATGCCCCTTTCACTTTGAAAATAATATTTACAGTTTCTGTTCATTATCTACCCAACAGTGTTACATATTCAACTTAAATTTGACATATGGATATGTCAAAGGAATGGGCAGGTCAAGTTGAAATTTGGTCATGGTTTGATGATTTTTTTTGCAGAGTTATGTCCCTTTCACTTTGAAAATAATATAGATACATCTTAGGAATAAGCAGTTTAAGTATGAATTTGGTTGTGGTTCAATGATTTTAGACAAACTTATCTTTCCTGAATGTTGGAAAAATTTTGTACTTTCAGTTTCAGCACTCATACTTTTAGCCATTATTTTGGCTACAAATATGAAATATGTTATTTTTAAAAGGTTAAGACTGAATAATTTCAGTGTCTTGAACATTGTATGAAAATGGTTTGTGTTAACATTTTAAAGTTTTAAGGGCTTTGAACTTAAAATGAAAAAAAATAATTAATGCACCATCTGAAATTTTGGCTGCATGCGGGGGCATCCGTGGCATGATGACACATTTCTAGTTTGGCTAGAAATATGCAATATGCAATTTACAAAAGGTTAACACTGAATAGTTTCAGTACCTTGAACTTTGTTTAAAAATGGTTTGTGTTAACATTGAATAGTTTTAAGGGCTTTGAACTCAAAATGAAAAAAAAAAAATTTGTACAAACAAATTTGGAACTAAACATAATAACATCTGAAATTTTGGCTGCATGCGGGGGCATCCATGGCGTGATGACACATTTCTAGTTATACTCAATGTCACATAGAAATGTTTCCTCGCTCACGGATGTTATCTTTGAGTTAAATAACAAATCTTATGCTTTCCCGATTGACCTAAGGGCGGACAAAAGCAAAACGTAATTATTGTGTTACAAAGACTGCTTGTTTTGATGATTATTAGGTCAATGGTCAATTTGGTTGCACTAGCTCTGTAATTAAATTCTCCCTTCTTGATAATTCATATTATTTAAAATCATTTTGATATTTTCATGTTTCATATTTTTTTGTTTTTAAGGCACAAAGTTTGACAGCAGTAGTGGTAGTAATGGGTTTGGATCTTTAACATCAACTCCAGAGAACACTTTAAAACATCGTAGTAACGTAACTGAGGCACGTATCATAAAACTTGTAGATGATTTAAAATTGGCATTAGAACTGTGTGACAATAAGCAACAGATTATACGCAAACTTCCTGACGATGTCCTCAGTGCTGTTGTTGCCTGGTTACAAAGTGGGAAAGAAGAGGCCAGCAAGGTGAGACCACTGTTTTTTGTCTTAAGGATTGGTAACCCCAATGAATCTGTAAATATCGGCTCCTGTCAGCGTAAAATTGTTATAACTCGGTAGTCATTGTGACACCCTCTTTCAACAGTTATATACCTATCTTTAGATCATTTTTTGTAAAATGAGGCAGGATTTTAGTCAGTGGTATCATTATTTGAGAAAATGCATATTGTGCTTGCATGGATTACATAATGTAACATGGTTATATAAAATGTTTGTACCCAGTCATGGTATCAACATGAATGTTGAAATGTCAAGAAAATCAGAAAAATGTATGAAATTAATGAAAGGCTGAGGTGCATCATAATTGCAGAACATCATAATATGGCTGGGGCTATGTATAAAAGTATGCCAGCATACCTTGTAGAATAATATCAACACATTTTTAAAGGAACAGTTAACTGCGTCAATAAATAATGACTTTATATTGCTTTTAAATGTGCACATCCACGACACCCGGCACACGTTAGAAAAGCACTGTTAGTCATCATATATTTTTGCTAATAATCTAAAAAATTAACCCAGAAAACCCGCTAAACATCGCATGTTTATTCCATAAAGTCAATTAAGTATTTTTTTATAAAATTGTAGACGTAATTTTCCGTTAATTTTTGTTCATATCTCTAGAAACACCAGATATTGATTACATCAGAAAATTAAGGAAAGGTAGAAATAAGTAAATCTCGCAATCATAAAATTTTATTGTAATTTGGGAATGACACCTACAAAAACATTTGAAAAAAAAATCAACAGACAAACAGAGAAGATTTAAATTTCACGATCATAAGTTTTTAAGTTACATAAGATGTTTAATGATACACGGGAAAACGGACATTACTTTGAGAAGCAGTTATGGTCATTGACTAAATAACGTTGAAGCACAAGTTGTACACTATTATGATGTTGACGTTAATAACTTTTTGGAGTGTGCCGCTGTCGCCGACATGTGTTTATGTAAAATTAAATATATCTGTATTATAAGAAGCTACTAACATGTATCTTTCTATGTTTATTTGATATAATTTCTTCTAGGCAGTGTAAGAATTTCAAATCAATATCTCAAATATATTTTACGCAACAAAGAGAGCTGACCAATTTTGGATAACCCCTTGTACACTTAAGAAAAATCAAGTTTTTGTTTGAATGTATCATCTGGCAAGTGTATCTTATAAAAAAAGTAACATTTTAAAGAGAACAATACCACAAAACAAATTATGACAAATAACATTTTACAAAAAAATATAAGGTAAAAAATAGATTGTGAATTTTCAACAGGTCTGATGCATGGACTCTAGCTGTTAATTGTGAAAGGCCATTTGTTATTTTGAATGGGTTTGGGCATACCAATTAAATAAGGAAAAAAAATAGCCGGAGGAAGTGCAGTGTCAGAAAAACATAAATGCATTACTTGGTTTTTGAATTTTTTTCCTTTATAATACTTATATGATGCTTCAAACTTGGATATAAAAGTAGCGGTCAACACAACACACAGTGATAGAGATTAGTAAGAGGAAGTGCAGTGTTGAAGAATAATAATTTTACTTTTTTTAGCTTGACTAGTATTCATTTGCGCTGGTGTTGGCGTTGGCATAACACTTTCATGCAACATTATATCTCCTCAACCACTTATGATATTTGCTTGTGACTTCACAAACTTATTTAAGAGCATAAGAAAGGACACAATCCAAGGCCCATTACTCTAGCATGGTTTTTGACAGAATTATGGCCCTTTATGAACTCAGAAATTTGTTGATTAAAGTTTTGCATGCAACATCAGTCTTATAATGTGATTAAGGTTTTCACTTGAAACTTTAGATCATAAACAGAGGTAACTGTCAAAGGTTCATAATTCTGACATATTTTTGACAGAATTTGGACCTTTTTGAGCTTTAAGATTTTGTTTTGTTTCAGTATTGCATGCAACTTTATTCTTCAAAATATCTAAAGGTATGAATTTTGAATGAAATAAGGCCCTTTGTGAACTTTACAAAATTTTTTGGTAAATATCGAAGACTCATAACTATGTCATGTACATAATTTGTATTTCTATTGAGCCCACTTGTGGTGAGCTCGACTTAGTAGTTGGGTGTATGTGCTCTGTGCATCCGTCTGTGCGTCCGTCTGGATTTGATGATGATGATGGGGTAGTGTGTTGCACACAAAACCAAGTTCACAAGTTCACATTTGGAGATCAGCGCAAAACCGTTGTCCCGAGCGTAACTTCTACATGCATGGAGGGATTTTAATGTAACTTTGGACAAACATTCTCCAAAGTAAGACAGAGTGTCCTGGAAAAAAATTCAGGTGTCTGTGGCAAATGTCAAGGTCACACTTAGGGGTCAAAGGTCAAATAATAAAATTAAACATACATTTGCCAGTATAACCTCTTTATACATGGATGGATTTTAATATAACTTAGCACAAATGTTCTGCATGTTGAGTTGAGTTGTTTTGCACAAAATGAAGGTCATGGTGTCAAGAGGTCAAAGGTCAAAAAAAATATTAAGATTTTATCCGATCTTTATCTTGCTCATACTTTGAAGGATTACAAAATACAGTCAAGACATTTTTTTTTTAGAGACCAACTTTGGGAATCAATAAAAAAGGTCACAAATGACAGGGAGTCTCTTAAAACAGTCTTCCCAAACCAGCCAACATTGGTTTTTAAATATACATATATAGTTATGTACTGACTTACTCCAGTGAAACATGTACATTTATGCGTTGTATATAGGCCCTTCTTAAGATAAGTGTGATAATTGATTATATATACTTATTTCTGAAATTGCATTTTAAAAAGAAGAAAAAATTAAAAATAGTACAATGTATAAAATTTATGGAAGACACTCGGGCATGTTTATGGACATGGGCTTGAGAGAGGATATTACATGTATTGCGTGCTTCTGTACTAACAGAAGAGTCATCAAATCTTTTCATTTAAAAAACAATTAAAAACATCACCTAATTGTTTAATTGTTTACTAGGTTGGATGCCAATTGTGTGACATTGTAAATTGATCGCCATATTGTTGTAATATTCATGAGTGCAGGGATTTTTCAATGCTGTTTTTAGAAAATTATCAGACTCAGGCTGCAAGTTAAAATATCAATTGTACTGAATCAAGGTATCCCTCTAGTGGGTTAATGAATTATTAGCTTTCATTGGACAAACACAGCGATCTATTTTTAAAACAAAACATTTGTTTTACAAGTTTTTATTCGGTTTATTTTCATTTTATAATAGAATTCTTCGCCGGGAGGGGAATTTGGGGGAGAGGGGGAAGGAAGGTAGTAATTTGGCTTGAGTAGGTAGCCAGATATCTTCTACATCAAAGGGGAAAAAGGCCTAGCAGGTAACAAACTGAACCTTTTTTCTTGTAAAAAAAAATCAGGGGAGTTTCTAAGAGTTGGTAAAAACGGTCTAAAAGGCAAATTGGGAGTTTGATCTACAGTCGCTTGTCGTGTTAGACAGGGAGTCACTCAATTCAGACTAAATTTATAGTACATTGCTTTTGGGGCAGAAAATAGCGTCGCATATGACAAGGAGAGTTTAATTCAGGGGGTTATATAATTTAAGGCAGTCTCGACTGTAATCGGTACAAATGTTCACCATGATGGGGTGATATGTCGCACACAAACCTAGGGTCCGCTGCTCAAAAGGTCAAGGTCACACTTGGGGATCAGCACAAAAACTTATGTTCACGTAGCGCAACTTCTACATGCATGGAGGGATTTTAAATTTAAACTTGGGACAAATATTCTCCATAGTGAGGCGGAGTGTTGCCAGAAAAATGCAGGTGTCTGTGGAAAAGGCCAAGGTCACACTAAGTCTTAGGGGTCAAAGGTCAAAAAACAATATAAAACATTCATTTACAAAATAATTTAATTTAATGTTATGTTTGCTTGAAAAGATGGTATTTAAGAAAAAGTAACTGTAACTGCATTTCTAAGTTGCATACAGCTATATCATACAGTTAATACCTATTTTTTTGTCAACAAAGAAATCTTTTATTTTTGAATAAATTATTGCATATGGCCCTTGTACACAATCTGCACATGTGTCTAATGATTTGACATGCTGAAATATGACCTTGACCCCTTAATTCACCAGACACTACTGCATGATGGCAAAGTTAAATTGTAAAGTAACAAAAAAATCTACTTCTGTTAAATTAATGCAATGGCATAGTATTTTTTCACAAATGCAGTCTTGTTCAAGTTATAATGATAATAATGATATAGTAATAAACACTTTATTTCATGAAAGTAACACGTACATTTTGTAATAAGAACCACAGTGTCTACAATATGGCCTTCTAGCGAGGTAAACATACAAAAATGTAAACCAACACAAATATGCGCACACATATAAAAAATGTAAACAACAAACATTTGAATAGACAGACACATGTATTCATCAGAATAATTCAAATTATTATAACAAGTAAATATTTTTTCGTTTTTCTTTTAAAAACAAAATTAATGAGAATAAGATTCTTTAATATAAAATGTAAATTATCCCATACTTGAATAGCTTTATAAATAAAATTTCTTTTTTAACATATTTTGTTGTAGGTCTTACATGTTTTATGTTTCTATTAGAAGTTGATCTATTAGTGAATACATTTTTGTTTTACATGAACACTAGGAAATTTTAGTTGGACGGATTTTTTGTGGTGAATAATCTCATTTGCTTGATTTTATAAAATTCACGCAAAACAACAGATGAAAAAGAATTAAAAGTTCTGAGATATTAATAAATTTGCATTTCTCATTAATTTATGACTTATACATCAACAAACAAATTAGAAAGTTATTGACCAGTAGATAAACCAACTTCTCAGTTGTATGGACTTCTCAAGCTTACCTGAACTTCCCACACATAGGTGGTAAAAATTGCAAAGAAGAGATCTAGAAAGGTTATAAATTTCTTATTAGTTCCCTACCGGTTTACCGGAGGGGACTTTAGGTTTACCCTCCGTCCGTCTGTCCGTCTGTTTGTCTGTCTGTCTTACCAACTTTTGATATTTAAGAGGCAAATCAGCTCATAAACTACACCTGGACCAAAGTCCATAAGCAAAATTAGCTCATAAAAACAAAAAAATAGCTCTTAATTTGAATTTTATGAGTTTTTGTTCTTTATTTAACTACGGAATGAAGCTCATAAATATCAAATGTTTGCTCGTCCGTCCGTCAGTCAGTCTGTCCGTCCACAAAACTGGATCCCGCGATAACTTCAAAAGTACTGAAAATATTTTTATGAAACTTGATATATGGATAAATGGCAGTATGGAGATTATGCATGTCTTTTTCTTTTCTTCCTATGTTGAAAATTCTGGTTGCTATGGCAACAAATAGGCTGAAAATATGGCAAATTTTACACATAAACTGAATCCAGTGATAACTCAAAAAATACTGGAAATATTTTTATGAAACTTGACATATGGGTAGATGACATATGGGTAGATGGCAGTCTGGAGATTATGCATGTCTTATCTTTTCTTCCTTTTTTGAAAAAATTTTGGTTGCCTTGGCAACATATATGCTTAAAACATGGCAAATATAACAATATTTGTGATTAGTAAAAAAGAGCTGAAATTTTTTATGAAATTGCATCTTTAATTCAAGAGTTATCTCCTCTTTAAGAATTTTGCTTTTAAAAATGTTATATTTTGGTAACAGGGATGTTTCAAATATTAACTTTAAAGTGTCCTTCAGTCCGTCTGTCTGTCTGTTCATAAAAACTGTTTCCTGTGATCACTTTTGCAACAAATTTACTTAAAATAGAAAATAATTGAAACATTAGTGAATGGCCAATGGCCCTTCAGAATGTTGATGGTGTTCTAACCGTTAGGGGGCTTATGGATTGCTTGCAATACTATGAAAATCGCTTGTTTCTTAATAGATTGCCCTCAAATTTGGAAATTTCTTAATGGATTGCCTTCAAACTTGGAAACGACAACCAATTTTATAAGACTTTTAAGTTTACTAGACTGAATTTGACCTTCACTAATAAATGACAATGACCTTCAATGTCAAATATTTGAATTTCCTTTGTTTTTTGTGATAATTGGCTAGAACTTTTTCATATATGAATGGATTGTATGGGACACAATAATCCTTAGGACAAGACCTTTATGAAGAGCAAATTATTTTTGAATGACCTTGACCTTAAAGGTAAAATTATTGAATATTGCTTGTTTCTTAGCTCACCTGTCATCACAAAGTGATATGGTGAGCTTTTGTGATTGCTTTTCATCCAGTGTCCATCATCCGTCTGGCGTCCGTCCGTTACTTTTACTTTAAATGACATTTCCTCATAAACTGCTAGGCCAAAAATATTTTCTTTTAAAAAAAAACCATAGAGCTAGAGCTTTGATATTTGAGATGAAACATCTTCTAGTAAGTGTCTATCAAGTTTGTTCAAATAAAAGCCCTAGGGTCAAAATTAGCCCGGCCCCAGAGGGTCATTGGTTTTTATATGTATATAGTAAAAACTTTAAAAAACTACTTTAACAAAACCCAAAGAGCTAGAGCTTAGATATTTAGCAAGAAACATCTTCTTGTGGGTGTTTACAAAGTTTGTTCAAATAAAAGCCCTGGGATCAAGGGGGTTAATGATTTTCCTTATATGTATATAGTAAAAACTTAAAAAATCTTCTTCTAAAAGATACTAAATAGCTAGAGGTTATATATTAAGCATGAAAAAATCTTCTTAGGGGTGTCTACCAAGTTTGTTCAAATAAAAGCCCTAGGGTCAAAATTGGCCCCACCCAAGGGGGTCATTGATTATTCTCATATGTACATTATAATCTTTTGGAACTGTTGTTTTCCTTTAGCAATAGCAATGCACATTGACTATTTCAGATACAAATATGAACTTTTTGATATCAATTTTAGATTTAGATTTTATATCTGCTTTTGTGTATAGATAACAAAATTAAGTGTTCGTTTAATAGTATTCTTGTAAGCGATTTCAGGGCCATCATGGCCCTGTTGTTTCTGTTCATTGAGTTTTGTCAGAGTTATGGCCCTTAATGATTTTAAGTTTTCAAATTTGTCCCGATTACTCCTCTTATACCAATAATGGAATTTATATGAAACTGTAAGGGATTAATCGGTAGCTCAAGTTCTTGTGCATATTTCACAGATTTTTAGGTTTAATAATTTTTGGTTGAGTTATGGCTATCATGAGGCAACACATGTGATCACTGATAATTCTTGTTTTGTTTTGGTAATATTATGTGATAGTAAAATGTCACCAAACAATTATGAAAGCACATATTATATTATAATTATATTGACATTTGCATCAATTTGACTCACACAAGAGTTATAATTTTGATCAGTAGAAATTCAAGTCTTAATACTGTCTGCTTTTGACCACATCTTTTATTGGTCAGCCAATACCCCAGAAAGGAGTTTGCATATATGAAAGTTTGCTGCATTGTTTCTTGCCCTTTGTTGAAGAGAAAGCAAGTAGCATTTTAATGCTTCATGAGGTCTGTTTTCTTGTTCCATACATTGTCCTAGAATGTTGAGGGCTGTTTCTCTATGTCGAAGGTTTTCATCAGTCACTATGGTTCTTACAAGTTTATTAAGTGCTTGTTGTTGATCTTGGTGTCTTTGTAGATGACTGTAGATCTTGTATTGTAGGAAGTACAGGAAAGGTAGAGAATCAACTACAGCCCAGTCCATCCAACGGTCATCATCTTCATGTCTGTGTATCATGTCAGCTTGTGTAGATCTGAACATTTCATATTGTAGTTCATAAGGAACAAAGTTGATCTCTTTCTGTATAAATCTAACACAAAATGCTGTTATATGTTTGATACAGTCCTCACTTTGCTCACCACATACCCTCTTGAATTCTGCTGTTACTGCTGGTAGAGGCTTATCCCAGCATCTACAGATAGGTAAAACAGGATAAGAGTAATATTGTTGTTCAGTGTGTCTTAGTATTAGTTCAGCTTTCTCCATATCTCCTGTACTGTAGAACACTGAAGCCAATTTAAGTCTGCTAGATGAGATATCTGAGTTTAAACCAACTGATAACCAAACCAATGCTTGAGGTGACACTTGATTATTTTCACCAATGCTGGATGATGCCAGGATAGATCCATATGTGGTAAAAAGAAAAGGTGCTAGAAACTTGAATGCTGCCTGTACTAATCTATTACCATTAACGTTGAAAGTAATAAATTTACCTATACAATTCTTCATTGCTCTAATGTTTTTTGTGTGTAAATGTCTTAAAATTTGCACATGAGTTTGGCTTGTAAGGTGTGCTGTGTTTAAATATTCTGAGGTCATATAAAATTCATGTATTGCAAGAGAAGATTGATAATAATATGCTCCATGTGGTACCATGTTCAGTTTAACTTGCAATCTATAGCCAAGATCATCAATATCAATTCTAAGTAACATTTGACCATCATTCTGTAAAAAATCACTTATATTTTTTGAAAGTTCATGTTTTTTTTCAGCTGTAAATTGCCCTGCCATCAAATTATTTTCTCTGATAATGAAATGTGAACAACGGTCATTCTGCACACAGCTATATAATTCTAATAAGCAATATGTTAAGCATATAAATAAATTGTTCTCTTTCCATGTACTTGACTCTGTGTTTTCTATACAGTGTAATAGAACTGTTTTACACATGAAGCTTGATATGTTGATTTCCCCTTGAGGATTAAGGAAGGATTTCAGAATCATTTTCAATAATACATAGCACCTTATTTGTGTTATATTTAGATTGAACATAAGATGTTTTTCTGCCAGTGATGTAGATATTCTCCATTCAAGTTCAGGATATTCACTGACCTTACTTTCGGTTGGAACAACAAAACACCCAGTACTGGCTGCATATCTTCTCATGTCTTGTGTTGGCCATCTGCTAATACCTTGTCTCTCTAACCAACCAGATGCTGATTGAGGCCAGGATTTACAAGAAAAAGCTGGCACAGAGTCCGTATCACAGAATCCATCCTGTCCTTGTTCAGCAAGTGATGGTCCATGATCTACAGCACCCGAAATGATACCATTAAATCTTGTGTTTTTTAACAATATTCTTCCACTTCTATCATTTATATGGTGTTCATCAGGAATGACAGTGAATGGAAGAGGTTCATCAGATTGGAGCCTTTGTAAGAAACAATAACCAGGGGTAGTGTTCTCATCCTGTATCATGAGGTAGTTTCTCTTGCCATGTTCCCACTCTGACCAGTCTTGTATTATATTGTAATCATCATGACAGGCTAGTACATCAAGGTCTGACTGAAGTCCTTTAGTAGTTGTAACTTCACTCTGACTACCTAGAAGATATTCAGTCCCGTTTATATCAGCTAACCTGTTAGTGATATTCTCCATAGTCTCCTCCAGCATGAAATGTCTTCTCCTTCTCATCACAATTCTTTCATTGACACCAATGTCATCTAAAACCTCTGATAAAGCCAATGATAGGTTTTCTCTGTAGTCAGGTTCTTGAAACATTCTGTAATATATTAATAAAAGGAAAAATTGTTTTGGTCACTTATTAAATTTATTTTGTCACATACTTCTACTTGTTACTTATCTGCCCTATGTGGAAAAATGAGTATTAATATTGTGAAAATTTTAGGTAGATATCAATTAATAATAATAATAATAATAATAATTATAATAATGAAAATAAAATGGTATTGTAAAGATTTGTTCCTTTTATCTACATGTATTTTTTTTGATATTCTCCAAACTTAAATATTTGAATCAGGTTATTCTGAATATTTATTTTTGAAATTTTATTGATGCATTTTTTTGCAAAAGGTTTCTGTAATATGGTGGATTTTCTTCCACTTTGTTTTGACTTAAAACTTTACTACTATAAATTCATTAAAAATGTTGTTGTTTTTTTTCAAAAAGAAAAGAAAAACAATTATAAAAGATATATAACTCACTTTTAATGCTTTATCAATAGTAAATGTATAATTATGTCCCTTTCAATATCGTAAGCATTCCAATGCTACATTTATGATAATTATTTAAGGCTTTGATACATCAATTTATCGGTTTATAAGTTTGATCGATTTTCAGTGTTTTATGTTTTTAAAAATTAACATTATATTAAATTGTAACTTGACTTTGAAGATTCTTGAATCAAACACAAACTAAATTGATAATATAATATTGATATTGCATCCAATAATTTCTTAAATAATGTATTTACTCAAATGTAAAATTGTGTGTTTAAAGATTATAAATTTTGAACTTACTTTAAAGTTGTATTTGACAGTATCAATATGACTTTGTCTTGAAAATAATTGAAGAAAAAAAAATGTGTTGACTTTCTGTTTGACAAAGCTGGAAATTCCTCTTTTGGTTTTAAATGAAAAAATGGAAGGGAAATAACTCACTTCCTCTTCCTGTTGTTATAAAATTTAATTTGATTATTTCCCCTGTTATTTATTATTTTTTGCTATAATTTCAAGAGATAATTATATACTAGGTATATAAAATATTTATATGGCTATACCTCTTCTGATAAAATTTGTCATTTATCTTCTTAGAATATGGTGATTTATTTTGATTGTACATTAATTTGCATGCAATTTTCTTTAAAAACATGTCTTAATAAATTATGTATTGAAAGTTTTTGTACTGTATGAATAAACTTTATTCTGTATCACTAGAAATGATACAAAAACTTGTCATTAGTTTGAATGAATTATTTTATTTTAGACACAAGACATATACAAACCTATAGTCAGTGTACTTGTATGTTTTTTCTTAAGTGTATATAAGTATCTGAAGAAAAACACTTAAACCTTTTGGGTATAAACATGCACATTGAGCATTTAACTTTAAGCCTTTTTTTGCCATATATTTTTCAGGCACTTGTTTTAAATATACAGTCAACTATTGTTATCTCGACATCGCTTTTCTCAATATTTCATTACTGTAACCCAATTTATATTCGCAATTACAAATTTTCGCGTTTTGCCGAGGTCGGACATATTCGCGAATATTAATTTCTGCGTTTTCTTGATTTCTGGAAAAAAAAAATCGCGGATTGGAAAGTCCGATGGGGCCGTAAAATCTATTAGCCGACTATTAATCTTCAATAATTGAGGTCATTATTGGTGTCTTAAATGGGATTACTAATAAGCTAGCCTTATATATTGTACTGGTAAGTGAATTGTGATCACAATTCAACAAAACATTTTCTCTATATATGTACATTTACCATCGTTCGTCTTCATTTCTAAACATGTTGTTAAAAGGGTGGTTGATAAAAAATAAAACCTCAGAATGCAGTGATGTTTCAGCATCGCTTTTGCCTGATCATGATCTGGAAAGCACACCAGAAAAGAAAAAATTGATTAAAGCGGCAAACAAAGCTGTATTTAAAATTTTATCACCAAAGAGTGGTGTAAAGCGTAAACGTGAAATTTACGGACATTATAATTTTGATTGCTATATTGACATAGAGTTCTTTTGATATTTATAAAATAGTAGTAGTTTACTTAGTTTGTGTTTTTAGTGCTTTATGGCAATATTCATAACAATTCATTACTTCCTAACAGGTGCCCGTAAAATTCGAATATATCCGGTCAAGTAGCTTTGCATGAACAACGTTTAAAATAAAAATTTCTCTCCAATTTATTCGCGAAATCATGCGGACTTATTCGCGCAAACAAATATTCGCATTTCGTGGCCATCTGCGAATAAAGCGAATATTAATTGGTCGTGAATATTCGGTGGGTTACAGTATCTCGATGAAATTTTGAAAGTCCCAATTTTCTTCCTTCTTTATCTATATTGGAAATATTTGTTTATCTCGATATTTTTATTTCGATATTTTCAGTATCTCGAAGTAAAATTTCAGCCCAAACAGTTATTTACACACTATTATCCTTTGTTTATCTCGACTAAAAGTTTTCTTTCATCTGTTCCCTTCAGACGTGTGAAAAACAAAAACTAGACGATAATTGCTCAATTGCGCGTGTCATAATGATGATTATGTTTGTAACAAGTTTAGCTGTTTTTATAAAAGTTAATCTATTAAGCATGTTGATTGACTTATGTCCAAAATGAGTGAATTTTACGTTCTTTATAGCATCACCACCAAATCAGTCAGCGGTCGAACAATCCCGAGAAAGACACAATAACTAACTCGGGAGGATATCCGGATCAACCACCCTGAAAACAATGATTTCACTATATTGGTGTATTACTGAGTAAACCTCACTATGTGTTTTTATCACAGATACCCGTATTTCCTCTGGTAAACATCCGCTTTGTTAAATATTGACTAGGCGTCAATAATACATAATTTATTAAGACATGTTTTTAAAGAAAATTGCATGCAAATTAATGTACAATCAAAATAAATCACCATATTCTAAGAAGATATATGACAAATTTTATCAGAAGAGGTATAGCCATATAATTATTTTATATACCTATGAAAACAAGACATGGGGATATCATAGTTTATTTGACATAAGGTATGCACATGTCTTTTGTAAAAATCAGTTTCTGCCTTATTCAAACCCTAATATGTTTATCTCGACATTTCGTTATCTCGATATTTTTTGGACGGTCCCGATGACTTCGAGATAACGAGAGTCGACTGTATAACCATATAAAATAAACATAATGACTTAATATTTTAAGACATAATTATAATATAATGATTACAGTGTAATTGAAGAAATATAAAATTAATAAATATTGTAGTAAATGTATTTCTTTGAACAAATCCTTGTGTTAGTTTTTTAAGAGAATCCACTTTGTCTTGAAAATAAGTCATGATTTTCTCTGTTTCCTGAACAGTAATAAATTTCACTGTAAGAGTTGTAAATAACTGAATATATCTGTCTTTGAGAGTATGTAACATCTATCAGCCTTGTATGTGGGAAATATAAGATAGTATGTGACATCTATCAGCCTTGTATGTGGGAAATATAAGATAGTATGTGACATCTATCAGCCTTGTGTGTGGGAAATACAAGATAGTATGTAACATCTATCAGCCTTGTATGTGGGAAATATAAGAGAGTATGTAACATCTATCAGCCTTGTATGTGGGAAATATAAGATAGTATGTGACATCTATCAGCCTTGTATGTGGGAAATATAAGAGAGTATGTAACATCTATCAGTCTTGTATGTGGGAAATATAAGATAGTATGTGACATCTATCAGCCTTGTATGTGGAAATATAAGATGGTATGTAACATCTATCAGCCTTGTATGTGGGAAATATAAGATAGTATGTAACATCTATCAGCCTTGTATGTGGGAAATATAAGATAGTATGTAACATCTATCATCCTTGTATGTGGGAAATATAAGAGAGTATGTAACATCTATCAGCCTTGTATGTGGGAAATATAAGATAGTATGTAACATCTATCAGCCTTGTATGTGGGAAATATAAGATAGTATGTGACATCTATCATCCTTATATGTGGGAAATATAAGAGAGTATGTAACATCTATCAGCCTTGTATGTGGGAAATATAAGATGGTATGTGACATCTATCATCCTTGTATGTGGGAAATATAAGAGAGTATGTAACATCTATCAGCCTTGTATGTTGGAAATATAAGAGAGTATGTAACATCTATCAGCCTTGTATGTGGGAAATATAAGATAGTATGTAACATCTATCAGCCTTGTATGTGGGGAATATAAGATAGTATGTAACATCTATCAGCCTTGTATGTGGGAAATATAAGATAGTATGTGACATCTATCAGCCTTGTATGTGGGAAATATAAGATAGTATGTGACATCTATCAGCCTTGTATGTGGGAAATATAAGATAGTATGTGACATCTATCAGCCTTGTATGTGGGAAATATAAGATAGTATGTGACATCTATCAGCCTTGTATGTGGGAAATATAAGAGAGTATGTAACATCTATCAGCCTTATATGTGGGGAATATAAGATAGTATGTAACATCTATCAGCCTTGTATATGGGAAATATAAGATAGAATGTAACATCTATCAGCCTCGTATGTGGGGAATATAAGATAGTATGTAACATCTATCAGCCTTGTATGTGGGGAATATAAGAGAGTATGTGACATCTATCAGCCTTGTATGTGTGAAATATAAGATAGTATGTGACATCTATCAGCCTTATATGTGGGGAATATAAGAGAGTATGTGACATCTATCAGCCTTGTATGTGGGAAATATAAGATAGTATGTGACATCTATCAGCCTTGTATGTGTGAAATATCAGACATCATGCTTTTGAAATTAAGTTAAAACCTCAGGAAAACTTTTGGGACAGGGATAACTTCAACGTTTTGATGGAAAATTTAAGCATAATCTAAGAAGGGTTAAAGTAAAAAATAATATATTAACAATTTTAAATTGATAAATATAAATTCTTATTGTAAATATTTAATTCTTCACAATTGAATTTGTTTTGTTTGTAGTTATGATGATAATATGTGACAGCTATGTGACACACTGAGTGATAATATTTGACAATTTTGATGAAAATAGGTGACACTGTTGGTATATATGGTGTTGAATGGAATATTTGATGATTCCCTTAGTGATAGCTTGAATTGGTATTTTAATATCTGTTTCCACAAGATTTTGATAAATTATAAATTTATAATGTTGATAGAATTAATGTCAAATCTTTGATATGATATGTATCACATTTGGTGAAAATATTTGATAATTTGTGACACTTGTTGCAATGAAATGTTACACTGTGTGATAGAATGTGACACGCTTTAAGATGCTTTGGAATCTAAGTAATGCTATTTAGTAAATTTTAGTAATGATAGTAGACAGTCTTTGTGAAAATATGTAATATTCATGGAGAAAATATGTGCCAACACTTTTGTATTAGATAAATTAAGCACTAAGTGATAATTAAAGTGACCTCTATCCAGCTTTTCTGAAGTTTAATTTTTTTATCCCCTCCCCTCTTCGAATAAGATGCTAATGTCTGTCTCTCCATCAGTTGGTTTCCGCTGATTATCTTAAAAACTATTTATCACAAAGTCTTCATATTTCACATACTGATTGGTTATAACTAGTAAGTGACCCCTATTGATTTTGGAGTTACTAGGTCAAAGGTCAAGGTCACAGGGTTCTTGAATGTCAGTATGGTTTACTATTTATCTTGTAAGCTTTTCATCACAAAGTCTTCATATTCCTAATATTTCTTGGTCATAACTATTAGATAACCCCAATTGAGTTTGGGTCACTAGTTCAAATGTCTAGGTCACAGGGGCTTTAAATGTCTCATCATCTTGAAAAATTATTTATCACAAAGTCTTAAATTTTCTTTTTTCCATAATTGAACACTTCCATGTACCCATTTATGGCAAGTTTTTATAACAAAATTACCATTATGTGAGTCAAGGGCTAGAAAGGGGGGCATTTGTGTCGTTCGACATTTCTTGTTTCTTTTTGGGTAAATTGTTTCATATATTGT